AACTATATTAGTATCGACATGACCCTTAATGTGTATAAGAAACATGTACAACAACATACTGCTAACTTTTCTCATCTCATTCATAATTATATTCACATAAAAAAATATAAATCGTATACAAAATTATAAATCGTATACAAAATTATAAAATCTTATACAAATTAACTCGACATTTACATCATTGCATCCTTTTGTTATTCTTATGTAATATTGCGGCTTTTGTTATCTCCTGTCTTCGTTCATTTTGATTGTGGCTTACGAGATCATTTAATACTCGCGATCGATCATTTAATATTGCATCCTTGACTGTGTGATGTAAGGTTCCTTTTCAGCATCACTCATTGAATTCCATTTGGACCTCACATCTTTTTTCACCTAATATTAAACATAAACGTTTCTTAATCAATACATTAACACTAAATACTAATACTACTCAATGTCAATTTCATTTACATACCGAACCGCTCTGTGTGCCATCTCCCTTCATCCTTTTGCATTCGGCCATACTGTTAACATTTAAAATTTGTAATCAATTTAAAGTTTATCGATACTTTAATCCAATTACCATTTCAACAATAATAACAAAAAGACATTGATACTTACTAGAAGTACATATATCCACCCTTTGGTTGCTTTGAGTCTCGGCCTCAATTTCAAAGTCATCTGCTCCACCAACAATTTTCCAACCCATTGACTCCATTTTTCCTTCATATCAGTTTACGCAAATCAAATTATTTTGTTACATACACTTTTCAATATACAATATAGATAACTACTCTTGTGGTAAAACGGTTTTCTTCAAAAGAATTTGAATGGCCACACCAAAATGTGTCGGCACATTTATACAACCTATAATATCATTTTCTACCTATAATATTTAATAAAAGTATCGACATTTATCGTTTTCCTTGAATATCTATTTCTACCTGCAATCGGTCCAAATGCTTCCTTACTCCAAAACCCCAAACAACACATAAAAAAACCCTATCGCGATTACTGTAATAATAAAAAATTAGGGTTTCGACAACATACTTTTCGATTCGACTGCAGCAACAAACAAACAACTTCGCTTTAGAAACGCCTTCTGAAATGCAGCAACAATTACTCTTCGATTTCAAAAACTCGTCCGTTCTATCTATTTTCAGAGGATATTTAGCTTATATTTTCATCGGATATGTATTTATATTTAATCGATACAAATACAAAAGTGTCGATACTTTTATGTCAGGTGTCGATACTTTCGAAAGGATAATTACCTATTTCTTTGAAAGTGTCGATAATTTATTACACGTACTTACGAAAGTATCGACACTTTCAATATATCCGGTATCATTTTACCGTTTTTATCATTTTGATACCGGTTTATCATATTTTTACCTGTTATATCGTTGTGGATCGATATTTTTTTTTAAAGTATCGACACATTATAGGCGCTATAACTGCTTCTCTTTTAAATTCACAAAGTGTCGATCCTTATATAACGTATCGACACTTTTAATTTTACCGGTTTTATCATTTTGTTACCGGTTTTATCATAATTTTACCTGGTATATCGTTTTGGATCGATATATTTCTTAAAAGTATCGACACTTTTTAGGATTTAAAACTGCTTTTAAAGTTATGTAATTTATGTTTCAATTTATTTAATAGTGTTTTATGTTTTCCACCTACAATATTAATTTAATAATTTAATTTACACAAAATTTTATTTGATTGTTTTGATATTTTATAAAATATTATTTAGAATTTAAATTTAACATATTAACCAAATATAATAATAAATGTTTTCAACAGTGAAATAAGTATGGACACTTTTATAAAAATGATATATACTTTTTTGAAAGTTATGTAATTTATGTTTCAATTTTTTTAATAGTGTTTCATGTTTTCCACCTACAATATTATTTAATAATTTCATTTACACAAAAATTATTTGATTGTTTTGATATTTTATAAATATTATTTAGATTTTAAATTTAACAATATTAACTAAGATAATAATAAATATTTTCACAGTGAAATAAGTATGGACACTTTTATAAAAAGGATAGATAATTTACAATATAACAGGTAAAAATATGACAAAACCAGATTCATTATGACAAAACCGGTAAAATTTACTTGATATGTTAAAAGTATGGACACTTTTATAAAAAGGATAGATACTTACCGATAACCAAAGTTTACCGTTACCAAATTTTTTAATAGTTTTTCATATTTTCTACCTAAAACATTATTAGTTGTCAACATAATAGGTACCGCTAAACCGAATTTATTAAATACATTTTAATGTATCCGGTAATGCTGTATATTAGCCGTATATTAACCCGCCTTTCCTGAGACATTCCCATAATTGGGGGTTCAAAATTTTAATTTTATTTTCTTAAAAATAATGGGGTGTAAAAAATTTTATTTGTTCCATTTTTCTATAATATATTATACTAAATTTTATTTTTTTTCTTAAGTAATGGGAGGAAATATTGACATATATGAGAAAATTTTAAAAATGCTATAATAAATGATAAAATCGTTGATAGTTTTCATCAGTTTTGTTATAATAATAATTATTGATGTTTTAGGTTCAATCATTTTAAAATAAAGTTAAAAGATAATAAAATTATAAAAAAATACCATAAAGTAAATCATTTATATTCTTTTTTTATCTTGTTCGGTGACATTATCGGAGTCGGTGAAAATCATTGAAAATAGCTTTTGTCTGGACTGTAGGATCAAATTGAAATAACATTTAAATTAGTGACTAACTAAAAATGTTAAAATTTTAGAGTGTAATTATTTGTATCAAATTCTTATAAATAATAAAATATTTTTATAAAAAATTATAGTGACTAACTAAAAATGTTACAAATTTTAGAGTGTAATTTTAATACCAGATTTTTTAAGAAAGAGATGAAGCGATTCTCTCTTCAATTTTGTATGAAATTTATGTATAAATCTATACTATTAATATTAAACCTAGGGTGATATGACAATTCGTAGGTAATAAACCTAATCTATCATATAATAAATTTAGTGGTGATGAGATTGACAACAATCATGTTAAATGACTGTAACTATTTAAAGTACATGATACTTTAAATGATTTTACGTATTATGAAGACTTTGATAGATCAAAAATTAATAATGGGATTACAATTTATAGAAAAAGTATAACAAATAAATTTTCTTTTCTTCTCTGAATTTCATTTAAAAAATGATAAAATTAAAATTAATTATAATATTAAATTAAAAATTATCTAATATTTAACCAGATTAAAAAGTAAAATATTGAGAATTAACAAGATTAAGTTGTAAAGGATTGAAAATTTTAGACAAGAGACTGTAGGACAGTGCAAACACAAATTATGACGTAAGTTAGTAAATAAGGGTAAGTGCATAAGTAGAGATAGATTGAAGGGTTAATGGAATGATGATCGATTTTAAATTTTAAATTTTTATATAATTTAAATAAATTTATTTATATATTTTTTTAATAATTCTTCAAAATATAAAATTTTAAGATAAACTATACTAATGACTATTTAACTATAGCCTCTTTTTATTTTAACCATCATTTTTTAATTATTGTCAATCAAATCATCCAATTATTTAAATGCATTTTTGAATTCTTGTCAATCAGACCACCTAACCATTTAAACACGTTCAATCAGGCCATTAGTCGTTAACAATTAACAGAAGTGCTGATGGGGCAGTTAATAAAATTGGTATAATTTACATTTAGTCTTTATTACTTTAAATTGGTCATAATTTTAAATTAATTCAATATATTTAATCTTCTAATTATATGATGACACGTGTCATAATATCATTGGATGAATTTTATTAATTTAATTTTAAATATTTTTCTTTTAATTAAATGATGACACGTGACACCATCTAATGGAAAGAAAATATATTGAACAACACTGTACTTGGAGGGAGGAGGTGAATCAACATAGGTCTCCTTAGATGATAAGTAACAACCCTAACCTCTACTCCAAGATTAACTTTTGGTATAGTGCTTACATCAATTAATATTTATATTATAATATAATAAAGGTCAAGACAATGAAAATAGAAACAACATTAAAATAAATTGATTTGAACAAATTAATATTTTAAAATATATTGTTTGTATTCAACCTGACCCACCCAGAAAATATATTGTTTATATTTGACTCGCCCCAACTTGATTCGAAAAAATTAATATTTTAAAATAGTTAAAATAATATACTTATAATTATTTATTATTTTAAATGGTTAAAATAATATATTTTTACCTTAAAATCGATCCGATTTGAATATATAAAAAAGGTAAACTAGTAATTTATACCGGTTGGGGTCAGGTCGGTGATTACTTGCCTTAAATTCGGTCTCGCCCCGATTCGAATATATTAAAACTTTAAAATAGTTAAAATAATACATTTATAATCATTTATTATAAATTAAATAATAAAAATAAGATATTTTTCTTTTAAGTTTCACCCAATTTGAATATAGATATAAAAGAATAAACTAATAATTTATATCGGATTGGATCGAGTAGTTTTAGTGTTACTTTTATTTTCATTGTTATGTACTTCATTATATTATAAGATAAGTATTAGTTGATGTAAATATTATACCAATATTAATATTGGAGTAGTGGTTAAGGTTGTTGATTATTATCCCTAGAGACCTAAGTTTGAATCTCCCTCTCCCTCCAAGAACAATGATGTTTTAATTTATTTTTCTTCTATCGGATAATATCACATGTCACCATATGATTGGAGAAAACTTGCTTCTTATTTATAAAGAGCGATTTGTACACTCTCGTCTTACCGATGTGAAATTGAACAAAGTTGAAGTCGTGGATATTACAAATAAAGGGAGAAAAAAAAGGGTAGGAAGCAATAAAAGCGACACCGTTTCCCTGAAATTCCTAACAGAATTAACTAACATACTTTTTTTGACTTGTTTAGAGAGGGGAAAAAAAAGAAGAATAAACAAACAGAATCAGAGAGATGGAAATGAGCACAGAGAAAGAGGAAAGGAAGCGGAGAAATGCGGAGAAAGGGTTGAACCGGATGTCTCAGATCCGGTCTGCACGTCCACAAGATCATCATCCCACTCCATCTACCGGTATCCTCTTTTATCACCTTAATGGCTTTCTAGAAACATCTCATCTTTCATGATTTGCCTTTTGTAATTAGATTGATATTTGATTTGATTCTTAGTTTTATTTTCATATTTGTTCATTTCAAAGTTTTAGATTCATTATCTTAAAACACTTCATTTGCTGCATTGTTAAATTGTTAATCATTGACCAAGAAATCAAAGCAATGAGAAACCTTGCTTATAGGCTTAGTTAACATATCTTCTGACAGATGAAAAGAAAGAAAGCTTCGATGCTCGAGATCGTTTGGCATTCTTCACTGACGATGATCCGCCACCGGAAACCAATCAGTCTGGTCAAACAAGTGGTATGCGATATGTGCAATGCATAACTCTTTCATGATGAAATTGCTATCTTCTGTTTGATCAAATATTCACAATATAGCAGCATCAGTGTTTCATGACAAAGAATCATATATATATACCAACTAGTATAGATTTCTTCTTTCTCCGGATTATGAAGATAAATATGCATAATAGGAACCTGTAATTTATTTATGTTACGTGGAAGATGTATACAATCACACTTCCAATACTTTTATTTGATTTTTGCAGCTGCGCCTGTGGGACTGAGTGAAGCCTCTACTTCTAGTACTCTTAAACAAGGTAGCATGCAAGAAATATCAAGTGCCAACTCCCAAGATGATGAAAGCCAAGCTCAATTACCAAACCAGGGGACCAGTACCTACGCAATTTCTGCTCGTGCTGTAGGAGAAAAGGATAAATCGAAAATGGAGACAGCATCGATCCGAAAAGCTTCAACCAACTCCGAAACACTACCAAAACAAGCAGGGCTCAACCTAATTTATTCTCTTCAAAACTACTGAATTCCTGCATTATAGCTTCCGAAAGTGCACGCAGTTTTTGTGCACTGGTGATAGCATTTTGTGTAATTCTTTCTCGTATTAATTTCCCCTTGTTTGGACTTAGTATAGGCACACCCGATAGCAACGTAGCCTCGAAGCCTCTTTACATAATCCTACTGATCGATTTCGCCATTGTGCTCAGCCGGATGTTTCTCAGCAAGAAAGGAGTCTCCGGGGAGGCTGAGGAAGAGAAACCTGCAGCATCTCAAGAAAATAAAGAAAACTGGGATGCAACAGCTGTGCTTGTGGAGAGAGGGTTAGTGGCCTATCAGACAATCCGAGCACTTTTCACAGATTTCAGCATTTATGCAGTTGTGGTCATTTGTGGCACTTCTCTACTGTAACTTTTTTTTTTCTTGCTGGAAGATATATTTTATTCTTCTACAGTTTTAGCAAATGGTGCCGAGAAACAATTTTATTTGATGGAGTTCAATGTTTATTTGCAGCATTCAAACTCAAGTTCATGTTCTTTCTGCTATTATCTTTATCTGGCATTTGCCAATTCTCGTATGATACAGCATAGAATCAGAAGGCTTCTTTTCCACATAAAAAAAACAATAATTTAAGCTTTCAAAATGTTTCAGAAAATGAAAAGCTTCTAATGCTTACTGTGAAAATGTATAAGATATCCTCTTTCTGCTACATTCACTGATTTCACTTGTCCATAGTTCTAAGGCTTTTGTTTTCCATTAATTTTATTATATTTAAAATATCCTACTCTCAAGCCCATAACCAAATATATACATATCGATATGATTCATTAAGTGTTGTAGGTGGAATTGGTGAAAGACGTTATTTAAGTTGATTACAAGTTCTCAATCTTGCTAACAACTCTGGCTAGTAATTAATGATGGAGCCACTGCTCTGCTTGAGAATTTAAATTTCATTAAATGAAAATGAAGGGACCAAAGGGCAAGAATTGCTTCTGGAACTCCTATTTAATGCATGCTGCTTCAAGGCTTTACAATTAAAGGATGTACTTATTACTTTTAAAAGACGAAAGGCTAATTAAAGCGCAAAAAATCTCTGGAACCTAAATACAAAGCACAGAACGAAGGCATGCACTTTTCGTAGACAAGGTGCAGTAATATCCTAATATTCATTTTACCTCTCATGACTGTTATTTTTGTATATTTCACTGATTCACAGGTGTTATTTGATAACTAATAAATCTAATAATACTTAGCATCTAATGATTCAACAAATCGAATGCTCTGATCTTTCCTTGTAGGCTCTTCAAAAACCTATTCACACCACTGAACAGAAGAATGGGGAAGACATTTATCTCTAAGGTATCAAAAGCAGCGCCTCTTCAAAAAGCTATAAAAGTGCGCGTTTAAGTGGGCTTTTGGTCCCTCACATCACCTGCGTTGTTGGAGACAATTTTTTATATATTCATGTGCGCCCTACGCTTTAAGCGTGCCTATACATGCTTTTTAAAACTAAGCCTGATATAATGCTCCAGTCAGTGGGCATACATACACAACTAATGTAGTTGAGAGCTATGTTTCTCCAACTTTTTTCATAAAAGGATAATTATATATATATATATATATATATATATGATTATCTAAGGATCTTCCAAATATATAGGAAAACTGAATATACTGTGCTTTTACCTGATATCCCACTCTCTAATCCGAATAATATAAGCTTTAAGGTTTCTTCAAAAAAAAAATTATTCGAGTAAGAGTATGTTCAATTTCTTAACACAACTGAATTTGATACTCCAATCTGATTGCGGATAATACAAATTCAAAGTGTGCCACTATTCAACATGATCAAAACAGCAGTTGATTAACAGCTTTCAGTTCTAAACTCCCACCACTTATTTTGTTTTCAAAGCATTCCTGCAAGCTACAGAAATAAAATAGTGAAATGATCCCAATTTGCAATCTTGAATCTTGGCCATCATTCATATATAATTGTTTATTACATTGCCAGTAATGTCACTTGGATCAGATTTGGTAACCTGTGTAATCCTTTGTGCTACTTTCGCACATAAATCATTTGTTAGCAGTTGAGCCATAAGCAAGTGAGAAAAGAAGCACTTCTTGATTGAACATGGTTTCATGGGAACAAAAAATAACCTTCTTATGCAAAATATCTAAAACAAAGAAACTGCAATCACCATATAATCAGGGCAAAGATTAATAGAAAAACGATGGAAAAATTATCAGCACCTTACTTTCAGAGTTTCACTCACAGCCTTCAAAGACCCACATAGACCATTTTAGAAATGTCTTATCCATTGCATCCTAACTCTCAGTATTGTCCATATTGCATTTGATGGGGAAAATCAAATAGCTTTTTCAGTAATGGAAGGAGAGCAATCAAAGCAAGCTGTAGCTGCTCCGAGCTATTTAGTCGCAAACTGACTTGTCCTGCACCTTTGTTATTCAGATTGGCACGAGCTATTAGGTTTGTAGACCGTCCAATGGGTACTTGTGACTGTATATTGCATCCGATGGCAAGATCTCCATGCCAATCCATTATAGATAAACCAAGAGTAGACAAGGAGCGACCCAGAGGGTAATCTTTATCCCTCAATTGGGCTTCCAAACTGCCCCCATAAGCAAGATCACCACGACCAGTCATAGCACCCCCAGTCATGACTACCTGGAACTGCTTATTAGCAATCAATTTGTCTTCAACTTTCACTCCAGCCGACAATGCATCACCCAAGAGTGTAACCGAGATTCCTGCTGTAGCCTTATTCTTCTTGAGATTACTAAACCTGGTATCGCTGCGCAGTGTATAGGCTAAGTCCTTTCCAACAGTCTGCATATCAAAACCCACTGAAGTTGCTTTACCTTCCCCATGCTTTAAAGAACTGGTCAATTCCATTTGGACATTGGCATCCCTTTTGTCCTTGGTAATCTGGCCAGAAAATGAAATAGGAAATTTATCTTTAGCAACAAACAGTCTTTCCACATTAATACCTTCGTAACCCACATCATGATCCCAACCATGAGTATCTAGAACAGGCCTCACAAGCCATGGGTTGGAGGAATCAAGGGAACGATAGCGATGAGTAGGATTATCAGAATCAAAAGAAGTAGGCAACGCCAAATCTGGCATGGGAACCGGAACAGAAGAAGCACTACTAGTTTCTTCTTCTGCATTTTCACCATACTCACTTGGCAGATCCTTAGCTGCAGCAGCCATTTTCTTCATCATCTTTTGCCGCTTTTTCTCTTCCTTTAGTTGCTTTTTCATAAAAAGTTTTTCCCTATATTCCAACTCATCAAAATATGCCTTCTTTTGAGCTTTACTAAGCTTTGCTATTTGTGCTTTAGTCAATCTCTTGAAAGGTGGCAACTCATCATATTCCGGTTCTTCCTCGGAGTCTGACGATTCATCCAAATCATCATCCAATCCATCCTCATCACCATACTGCTCTTCAGGCAGCTTAACTTGTGGTCTTGATTGAAGAAGTGATGAAAGAAGGAAAGGCAAAGGAGGTGCTCTTGTTCGAGTAGCAAAAGGCTTTCTTGGAGGTGTATCTTGCAACTTCAAAAGTGCATTTGCTTCAGCCAGAATTTTGGATGCGAAGGAAAGCAACAACAAATGGGCTTCCAGACCTGACCATTAGGCAATACTCTCTGGCCTGCCCTATTTGTTCTACATGCAGAGTGATTCTCCACTAACGAAACAGGATTCATGAGCCGCATATCCCCAGCTGCCTGACGAATAGCCTGCTGGACAACATGAGAACGTTGAGTGACAAACATGTCATAACTAGAAGCAGTACCATTTGGACCATCAGGTGGAGCAGAAGCTGCGTGAGTCAAAACCACAATTGCATTAAACCATATAGATGGACCAAAGATCTCAGTGATGGTACGCAAGAGGGGCATATCACCAAAATCCCTGGTTTGCATGTCCAACCTATCAAGGTACAACACAATATCTGGAGGTGTTTTCTTGATGAAACTTTTAACAGTGCGAAGGATCTTCTCATTCTGACATTGGTCAGACCAGGAAGGAAGAAGGCCTGGTGTATCAATTACACGGACCTTAATACCATGGACTGTACCCACAACATCCTGAACCTTCTTTGTACTTGTCTGGAAAGCATCAGTACCAAACTTGGCTTCATCAAATATTGAATTGATGGTAGCACTTTTACCAACTCCTGTCTTCCCAAGCACCATAATTGTACAGGAGAAATCTAGGGGTTCATTTCCAGCTGCCTCAAGCTGTTCTGCCATAGCACTAGCACGGTCAAAGCTAAAGGCACCGACACGGCCCCCATTTCTCCCCCGGAGCTGCTCAGCTAATCCAAGTCTGTACAGAACCTGTGCCACAACAACATTATGGGGAGTTTGCCCAAGCCGATTTGCAAGACGCAAAAACTTAACCCTAATCAACTGAAGCTTTTCACGTGTCTCATCACTCTCCTCAGCCTCAACATTACCAGGATCTTCAATTTGCTGTGAATGTGCCCGAGAGACACTTCCATTTGCACGAGGCTGCTGCACCACCCTGGGTGCAGGCTCCAACAGCGGAGCAGCACGCCCAAGGCCAGCAGGATGAGAAGGGGTAGCAGGATTTGCACATATAACAGGTGTTGATGATGCTGGAGCTGGTAGAATTTCGTGTTCTCTAGTCACATAGGTGTTTGTCTTAGGCTCCTGATCTCTGTCTGCTTTCTTCTCAAACTCTTCGGTTTTTGCAGACAAAGAAGATCCTGGAGCATCTTGCACTTCCTGCTCTAGAGTCACTCTATAGCTTTGCTTATCTTGATGATCTTTCTCTGCTTTCTTTTCAGATTTTTCAGTTAAAAAGTGAATATCTTGAGCCACTTCATGAGGAAGCCGAGATTGAAAACCATCATGAAGCTCTGTTCCCGTATCGGTTTTACAAGCCTGAATCTGCTCATTCCTCTCACCTGTGGACTTTTCTGTAGAAGACAAGTTTCCAGATGCAGAATCAACTGTCCCTTCCACAGATTTACT